CGAGATTGAGAAGTTATTGTTTATTGACAGTTTGATCAATTATTGACAGATGAAAACTATTTGATTGTATTGGTTTCTGAAATACCTCTTTCATCAATACTGCAAATTATTCATCTTCCACCGTCCAGAATGGAACTTTGATAATAAATAGCCTGTACTTAGATTGGCTATAAAGCTGTTTTGCTGGATCTGGGAACGGTATGTTGGCTAACTTACGAATCCCTTCGTCGCTTTGTACCCCGTTTTACGAAAATTTCGCGGGCGGAGAAAAAAGAAATTTCGCAAACTTATAGAGAATATCGAGATGAAGTGCAGAATACTAATTATTTGTTTTATTATTTATAAATTAATTATTTTAACTTAAATTTCATCAAAACTTACTTCTTCAATGTCAAACATGTCATTTTTAGGATAAATACCAAAAATACTAAAGTGTTGGGAAAAACCGCGAAAAAATATATATACTAATACTAATATTAATACTAATAATATATAAATCTACAGTGGTCTTTACGGATGTTCCGTTATAACTACTGAACCATGCATTCGATAAACTTGAAACTTGGTATCAATGTAGAAAATACATGTACTTAATGGATAGGCTAATATTTATATGAGTGTTCGACTCCCTAATAATAATGACAATAAATAATAATGTTAATTTTAAATGCCCAGCGAAGCGGGCGAGTGCGGCTAGTTTTATTATATTATTGTTAATATTATTATAATATTATATTATTAATTATATTATTACTGGACAATGTGGCCTAATGATTTTCATGAATTAGTAAATTTATTCAACTAAAAATCTGCTCATTACTTGTCTACGGATTATTTGAAACGGTGGCATCATTTTCTTTTGGCTGTCAGCGCATTCACTCAGCAGGCTTTATCCTGACTAAATGGAACCACTGCGTTCATCCTCACTGAGCTTCTAGGCCATTTATGCCATACGCTACCCAACATACTATTATCTCGCCTCCATGATGTTTATTGAGCAGAATGTTTAAAAAAGTATTTAACTATAGACAGGGGCTTAGATGTGCTAGCATCACTAAAACCCTGGTAAACCTTACCCATTATTATGTTTACTGAATTTCGGTGCTGTGTTTTTGGTTTTTACNCGTTCATCCTCACTGAGCTTCTAGGCCATTTATGCCATACGCTACCCAACATACTATTATCTCGCCTCCATGATGTTTATTGAGCAGAATGTTTAAAAAAGTATTTAACTATAGACAGGGGCTTAGATGTGCTAGCATCACTAAAACCCTGGTAAACCTTACCCATTATTATGTTTACTGAATTTCGGTGCTGTGTTTTTGGTTTTTACAAGGCTATTGGTAATCTGAGAATCGATATAATCAGGTTTTTGACTCATTTTAATTATCATTTCCCCCTGATTATAAATTGCTTTAGTTTTCGATAACACTCAATATTACATGCATAGTATTATTTTGTGTGAATCAAGACTAACACTTAGTTTTATTTTGCTTTCTGTGAGTATCATATTAAAATTTATTCTATCTATTTTCTACATCTTAATTTACATTACCCATACATATGTATGCATCATATTACTTAATAATATAAAATTCGATATAATGTAATGTTACGTTTATTACGTAAGTCTAGAAGTTTTCATGCTTCTTTAAGTTTCATCCGTGTAGTGAGTATTAAGTAGGTCCACAACCAAAACGGGGCTTTAGCAGAACAATAGTTTTGATCAAGATTTTTATTAACGTAGTTAGCATAGTTAGACTACTTTGACACTTTGATCTCATTTTATTTTTCCGACATTTCGAATACTTCAGAGAATTTGAGGTCACGGACAACTGTGTTTTATAAAATTGTAATTATTCTATTTCTCATGTTCTATGTCTCATGAAAAAAGTAATGAAAAATAGCATGATTTTTTTCTTAGCATATTTGTTAATTACCTTAAAAGAATAAAAATGCTTTTACGGTTATTATATTTTACTAGACGTGTACCATTGTTTTGCACGCATTAACCATCTAATTTAGTAAGAATGCCATTTTCCAGGGATATAGGAGTGCTTGTGTCACTCTCTGGCTTATTTTAACTTGTTTCTTTGTAGATGCATTAGTACGTAGAGCCACGAAGCAGCAAACATACTATTTCATTTACTATAGCAAATATCCCCTCTTTTACCTGGTTCGTGTAATTTACTATTATAATAAGTGCCATATCCAAGCTTATAACCTATAGCATTAGTGTGAAATTTCACCCTTGTTCGATTGATTAATAATCATCCAAACATTTGTATGTTTTACATTTTTAACATTAGTATGAATTAGGGCCAGTCCAATTTTATTCCACTAGGTACGGTATCCGGCACAATAATGTAAGCTCATTACACGTCCAGGCCATGATTCCACAATGTTCCACAATGTCGACTTCCACGATGAATAAATAACATCGTAATGTAAATTTCAATGTCAAAGCCTACACAGGCTGTAGATGCTATCTTTTTTTTTCTTCTTTCATGGTGAAATAATAATGTGATCTTCGGTAGACGGCTTTTTTGTTGCTCTAAAGCAATCTCGATGCCTAAAATTTATCCACGATGTTCTATCGATAATGCACTCTAGTCTTAAATAATACGACAGTGATTCTATAATCACCTCATAATTTATATCGTAATAATATGTTTACGTAAGCCCAATGCGGTATTTCGACCGATAATTTTATCAGCACCAGTAAATATAAGCCGACAATCTTAGCTTAATCAACACGCACACTAAATACTATGTCGCATATTATTCGATGCGGTTTTGTTCGCGAAGGACAAAAATTAATTAAAGGTACTTAAAAAAAACTTTTGTTCTTTTTCATATAATCAATCAAATGAAATTCCACGATTTCACGATGTATTCTATCTATGGGCTCATCACAGCATGTCTAGGACTGACTGCTGCGTGAGCCAGTTCAAGAGTATAGCCAGTGGTGTGGTGGAATGAGTCATCTTGACCGCATCACTGTCACAGATAGCCTGTAGAATTCCGATTTTGCCTTAGTGCACGTATTAATAGGTTTGGGACCTAGATAATTGTGAAGATCTACATTCCTCGCGTATCACACCGCTCCTGCAGTGTAGTGTAAAACTTGGTGGACATCTGTGTTTGTTGGCCGCATCAGTGAGCAACAAAATCGCATGTAATCATCGGACGCATGCAAGTTCTGGAAAGCGTCACCTTTTTCCGAAAGGATATTAGTTCACTTGAAATTAATGGGATAGGCCCCCAAAGGACGGAAACTCATGGAGTTATCTAGGGTTAACCTAAAAAAAAACTACAGTGGTTATACCTGACCTTCCTAGCTCAGACTGGCCAAAGACCATGATCACGGTGGCGGACGGTGTTTCTGTATAGACAACGGGAGAAGGTACTTATCGAGCTTCCCTTTTGAAAGAGCACAGTTGTACTTTTCACAGTCAACTTTGATGTATCATTTCCGGAATCATTACTCTAGAGTCTGGCTACGTTCTTAAGATCCTCGCGATGATGTACATGTCCCTACTAGAGTGGCAGCCGTATTATCGACAGAGCGCTAACTGTATCAACGGTGACTAATATAAGCAATAAACGAACGGTCAAAAATGAAATTTACTTATGAAATTTCGCAATAATATTGTAACCTAGCTCTCAGCCATTTTTTTTTTCGTCGACAAACAAACTTATATTTGTAAGTCGTTTATATCGATTTCACACTAGGCAGTTTTGAAATTTCGTCGCAACGAAAATGAGGTGTTATTTTAATGTTCTACGTGCGTTTAAAACAAAAAATGTTGGCCTCCATCTGTTGAACTTTTTAGGCGCTAGTTTTTCAAATTTTAACCAAATTTTATATTTTATTATTTCAATAATTGGAATATGAATGTTTTGAAATTATGTATGCAATGTTTGGGTTGCAGATTGATCATGTCGCAGAATCTGATCACACAATCGCAGCTTACGTTAGACTCGGAAAGTCGAAAGTCCGGTAAGTTGGGTTCCTTTGTTGACTTCTATAAGCTTCCCCTTAATATAAACTGACAATGGCTATTGCATTTTAGGTGTAGACAAGTCATGGACACACTTAAAGTCCTACGTTTTATTTTACTGTTTGTTTTTTATTGTACTGTTTTTTTTTTCCTGCTTATTCGTTGGAAGCCTAAGGATCTATTCCAGCTGAGCCCGAATGGGTTGGTGAGCTCACGGGATTAACTTGAGAGAATTTGCTAATAGACCGGAATCACGACCCACTGAGAAAATCCGGTGAGAAACTCAGTGGGCTGTGTGTATGGGTAAACATGAAAACTCAGCAGCTTATACTAAATACTATATGTATTTTTTAAATAACTAAATATAGTATAATAAATACTAAGTATATCTATGACACTAAATAACACTAAAGATAATTTGTAGTATACTACGACACTAAATGATATTAATTATAATTTTTAGAGTGATAAATATTATTAGATATTCGGTATAGAGAAGCGATCAGGATATTGAATGTTTATTTCATATATAGGTATCGGTAGGCAGCGGCTTGGCGGTAGGCAGCAGCTTAGCTCTGCCCCTAGCATTGCTGAAGTCCATGGGCGACCGTAACCACTCACCATCAGGTGGGCCGTATGCTCGTCTGCCTACAAGGGCAATAAAAAAAAATATAGCTCGAAAACATCAATGAACACTAGGAGACTAACACTTTTTTCCTTTACTGGTAACCTAAGGGACCATTCCGGTATGACAAACGCTAAACAATTACAATATCAAGCCGTAAATAAATAAATCAGACAGCCAGTTTAAAAATCGAACTATCAAAGAAAATACTCGCTCAAAACAAAGGCAAACATTTTCAAAGTCGGTCGTAACTAAAACAACATTTCTATTCTCTGCCGCCGTATGCTAGACTAGCCGAACTCAATTGGTCAGGCGGCCCTTACCGTCGTCGACCTTGCGCTGCAAATAACCGGCGTACCACTGTCGCCAGCACTCGCCACAATCGTACTTCAGATACAGACGCCTTATCACTGAAAATGGCTAAACGATTACGTCTTAATCATTTTACGGGCATACGTGTGTATCGAGAACTGTACAAGTGTAATTTGGTTCGTTGTTGTTTAGTTAATTGCGTCAGTTGTGGCGCGCTATTTTCAGAATGTCGTCAACTAATTCGCCGGCTGGAAGGAAACGTTAGTATTATTCGTGGTACAGTGATAATTCTGTGATATTGTGGGTTGCGTTCCAGACATTCTGGTATGTGCCGTGCAAAATTATTAGTTGATCTGAAAAATTATTCGGTGGCTGTCTAGACGAATCGCTCGCGGTTCTATTTTTGTGATGACTGATTGCGTGCGGGCAAAAGCGAAGGATTTTAATTTAAAAACGTAATTCTAGTTTTCACACAGCATATTTTGAAAATAGAAACGATAAAAGAAAATCCTTTTCTTGACAATAAATTGGTAGCGTTTCCAATTTCCGGGTACAGTTTTATCCAAGGAATGTTTAATTGTTTATTTATTATTATAAAACTTTAATGTATGTACATAATAGTGGTAAAACAAGGTAAAACACAGTAAGTACAAAAGTCGTTATTTTCTCTTAAAACTATCTCTACAAATCGACGTAAGTTAAAAAAATATTTACGAATTTTTTTCTAACAATTTTTTTTATTTTTGAAATCATTTATGACGCGCACGTGCCGAAAAATTAATTAGCGTTCCTTGAAAATTAAAATCATAACTATATCGGCTCATTTTATTTCGATTTTATCTTTAGTGAGAAATCACTATTATTTAATGATAAACAGAAAACTATTTATTTTGTAGAAGAAATATGTTAAAATTACTATATTTACTAAAATATTGCTATTTTACCTACTATTTTACCACTGAACAGCCCACATTTCCTGAACTTTCAATATCATCTTTGCAAAGTTTCAAAATCAGATGAACGACGCGGAACGCATCAAACAAACAAAAATGTGTGGTGTCGTGGGACACCGGATAGGAACGAAGTCCCTTATTATAAAAATATTCATTTTAAGTTCTATTCGAGGTATAAAAATAGTAATTATTCGGGTGTACATTTTTTATTATGATTTTTTATTGATAAAAAAAATATGTTATTTTTTGTACGTTATTACAAAGTTAAGTCGTACACTTTGGGCATTACTAATAGAAATCTTACGTGACGGACGTTTTTTCCCAGTTAGGGTACCCCTCCGCATCGTTCTATAAGGAACTTCGTTCCAAAAAACAATAAGTCTTCATTATTTATGGGATGATGTAAACGATACTAAATAATTTTATGAAAGCCATAGTAATAACACGACGCCTCTAATTATTCTTTCCGGCCGTAAAGTACTGTTCGTTATAATACTCATTCAAGAATGTTGTAATAAACATAGCAGTATGTGTACAATAAGTACAAATTATAGGTACATAATTAATAAAAACCAATCATAATAAAATACTATTAAAGTCCGAGAGAGACGCGCGAGTAATTTAAAAAAAATCAATGTTTCTTTGCCCTCTATACGTTCTGTAAGCTATTCATTTGTAGCTTTAGTATATGCATTGTAGTTATTGTTCGTACTTCATGGAAGATTTCTGATATGGATATCATCAAAGCTATAAGTATATGAAACACACCCATATTTCATATAATTACCGCAGAGGATGGCCTAGTTGAGCTACTCATATTATTATCTCACAATTATATGTAAGCACCTATTATCTATCTAATTTTGGAACGAAGTTCCTTATGAGACAATACGGAGTGGTACACTAACCGGAAAAAAACGTCCGTAATGTAAGATTTTTCTATTTAATTTGTTATCAACAGATGTAACGTAAATTCACGTAAATTCAATAATTCCTGAATCGCGGTGACGAGATGTGACACAGTTGATAGACGTTCTCGTATTTCTCTTGCTAAATAATTCTTACCTGGCGTAGGGGGATACCGTGATCATGCAGGAGGTTCCCCAGGGCGAGGCTGCTCCGTTGCACTGCAGAGTGGTTGACCCTTGCGATTATTATTATTTAGATAACGGTCAAAGTTAATGTAAAATCAAAGAAGACTTCATATTTTTTTCCCATTTTAGAACTTAAGTTATAAGTTAAGCCATAAACAAAATTGGCGATAGTTGAATATTAAAATAAAACCTATTTGCATTTGCAGTAGTCCTGAATTCGCTACTGGAGACTGACCATTATGAGAGCATCATCAAAGACCTGACGTGCAAAAGATGCTCAAAATACATGAAGCCGCCTATTCACCTCTGCGTGGACGGACACAGTATCTGCGGTCCTTGTTATGACAAAAGCTATCAATGTCACGTGTGCAAAGTAAGTTTTTTTTTTTAAACATTTTTTTTTTATTGCTTAGGTAGGTGGACGAGCTCACAGCCCACCTGGTGTTAAGTGGTTACTGGAGCCCATAGACATCTATAATGTAAATGCGCCACCCACCTTGAGATATAAGTTCTAAGGTCTCAGTATAGTTACAACGGCTACCCCACCCTTCAAACCGAAACGCATTACTGCTTCACGGCAGAAATAGGCGGGGTGGTGATACCTACCCGTGCGAACTCACAAGAGGTCCTACCACCAGTGAGAAACAATATTAGAGAGAACAAATATTAATAATACTGTTAATTCCTTTTAAAGTGAGCTATAAATGTTATTTGAGAGTGATAACAGAGCTGCCTAGATCGTATAAAATTTACCTAGGTCTGACTACAGTCTGGCGTCGTACCTCAATTCTATAGTACAGTAGTCAAAACCCTAAATTTGGTCTAAAACAATAATGCGATTTTGTTTTAGTCTTAGCTAAGCGTAATCGGAGATTAGAAAAAGAAGAGAACAGTTCAACATAAAGACACATTTAAACACATTAGTGGTAGTCGAAACTCGACTTTAATTAATTGAAATTATAAGCTTGTACACTATTATGAATCTATTTTCAAAGACTATTATACTTCTATAATCACAAATTTCGGCAAAACTACACTATAGAAAAATATTAATAAAGACAAACAATATTTAATCTATTCTCAATTTGACCATAGACGTCAAGAACAAAAGTTTGACAATAAATAGTATGCATGCGTGTGTGCGTCAAATACATGGTATGTAGTGTGTGTAATGTTTTCTTTATTGATTTAATGTATATTTTAAGCATTATTTTAAAAAATATTAGCATTGTGCACTTCTTCTTTATATTCTCTACAAGTGTGGAAAATTTCATACTCCTCCGTCCGCGCAATTTTCGTAAAAAGGGATACAAAGTTTTTGCTTCACGTATTAATGTATAGATAAGCCAACAATCGTGATATCACATATGTGCTTCAATCACATAAAACCGATTTAAAAATTACAGAAAGAATTTTCACCAATCCGTTCCGCCGTGCTGGAGTCGTTGGCAAACAAAGTCTTGTTCCCGTGCACGAATGCAGGATGCCCAAAACACGCCACACTCCCGCTACTGGAGAAGCACACTCCGCACTGCCAGTTCAGAATCATAAACTGCTTTATGGCTAGAGTATACGGTAAGAATTATCGAATTCGATTTATGCAAACGGAGAACTGAATCGATATCATTATTTCAAAAGACTAGTCCGTATCTATGACTTCCTCGTGTTTATGACTGACACAAAATCAAGATGAGATACAGTTTATAGGTCGAGTATACCTTAATCTGAGAAAACGGTACCATCATTCCGATATTTCTACGATGAAGCCCAGTTGGCCTCATATTTGAAGGTGGGTTCCTGGCTGAGCCTTTGCTCGCCCACCTGTCCTGGTGAAACTGGAAAGGCATTCGGGCCACCAGTAATCTCTCAATCATAAAAAAAAAAATATTTCTACGATGAAGCCCAGTTGGCCTCATATTTGAAGGTGGTCGGTGATATTAAGATTGCTTTAACCATGAACTCAGGCACCAATAGAAATTTAAAAAACATAACACAGTCTTCATGTACATAAATCCAAAATAACATTTAAAAGCGAATTGAGAAGGAGAAACGACATTATTTATCGAAAAACATTCGCGAAAATTTGTGAACATAAATTCTTCTGGCATTTTCATATCCAACCATCACTCGGATTGCAACTTTCAAAGAAAACTTATACAACCGTAAACTAACCAAAAACTGTTATCCCAGGTGAGTGCACGTGGGAGGGGCGCGCGGGCGACTGGATGGACCACTGCTTCTCGGAACATAAACAAAAGGTCACTGACCTGCCCTTCATCACTGTCAAAGACAAATGGGACGCTAAGAGGACAGAGCCGATTCTAAACTATTTCCTGCTAAGATGCTTCGAAAAAGTTTTTAATGTTTACCAGATCTATGATAAAAGAGGAGGTACGATGAGATTCTACGGTCTAATTATTTCTTATTTTATTACTACCTACCTACCTACTTAGTGGGATAAGGTGGAGACAATTATCCCACTACGTGGAATCAGCACAGCGAACTTTTCTATTCCATTCTCTTCTATATGCCGTCATCATAACACTCATTTGTCTCTCTCTCATATCGTCATACACGCACTCCATTCATGTCTTCTTCGGTTGACCTCTCTCTTCCCCCTCTACCTTGCACTACCATTCCCATACATCTCCTAGTCACATGCACGCTTTTATTACTACCGAGACTCGTAAAATTCAAAGCTGAATAAAACATTCACAGGTCGAATGATGTGGACAGTGCTCGTAAACGATGACAATGCAGAGAAATTTTATTTCGAAATCGACATCTTCCTTCCAAATCTACCGAGCAAAAGGATAGTGTACCGGNCCCTCTACCTTGCACTACCATTCCCATACATCTCCTAGTCACATGCACGCTTTTATTACTACCGAGACTCGTAAAATTCAAAGCTGAATAAAACATTCACAGGTCGAATGATGTGGACAGTGCTCGTAAACGATGACAATGCAGAGAAATTTTATTTCGAAATCGACATCTTCCTTCCAAATCTACCGAGCAAAAGGATCGTGTACCGGTAAAACATCTGATATCTATCTAAATATACAATGGTAGGACCTCTTGTGAGTCCGCGCGGGTGGGTACCACCACACTGCCATTTCTGCCGTGAAGCAGTAATGCGTTTCGGTTTGAAGGGCGGAGCAACCGTTGTAACTACATTTGAGACTTTAAAACTTATATCTGAAGGTGAGTGGCACATTTACGTTGTAGATGTCTACGGGCTCCAGTAACCACTTAACACCAGGTGGGCTGTGAGCTCGTCCACCCACATAAGCAATAAAAAATTTTTTTAATCGATGTGTTTAATATTCATGTTACTTAAAAAACTTATCGAATATACGGCGATTTCCACGAAATTTTCAGAAAATCTTCTGATAGCTGTAGGCAGCGATCGGCTACTTTCATTATAATATTTATTACTTAAATTTCAATAGAATCATCATCTAATAATAAAAAACAGACTAAACTGAATAATAATCGTTAAGACAAATCTATTCAGTTATAATAATATGTCTAGGAGTTTACTAGTAACTATGCAAGAGTTCGATTACCCACCTTCCAATTTCATAATTAGAGTAAATCGATGAGACTATAATGATATTGTTTGTCTTGAAGCACCAAAGTCCACTTTATTTTAATAGGGACAGCACCAGACCGATGAACACATGATTAGCCCGATGGTGAGTGGTCAGAAATACGAGGGATATAGCCAAACATGTGCCTAAAAATGTCTTATTTTTATTTTTTTATTATTATTGCTGTTAAGGTGGTGGTATTGGTGTTAAGTGGTTACTGGAGCCTATAGACATCTACAATGTAAATGCTGCCACCTACCTTGAGATATATAAGTTCTAAGATCTCAGTATATTCACAACGGCTGCCCCACCCTTCAAACCGAAACGCATTACTGCTTCACGGCAGAAATAGGCAGGGCGGTGGTACCCACCCGCGCGGACTCACAAGAGGTCCTACCACCAGTAATTACGCAAATTATAATTTTGTGGGTTTCATTTTTATTACACGATGTTATTCCTTCACCGTGGAAGTCAATCGTGAACATTTGTCGAGTACGTATTTCATTAGAAAAATTGGTACCCGCCTGAAATTCGAACATCGGTGCATCGCTCAACACGAATGCACCGGATGTCTTATCCGTTAGGCCACGACGACTTCATTCAACTATCGCCAAGGTTATGGCTTAACTTATAACTTAAGTTCTAAAATGGGAAAAAAATTATGACGTCTTCTTTGATTTTACATTATCTTTGAGCGTTAGCTACGACGGCTGCCCCACCCTTCAAACTGAAACGCATGACCATTTTACGGCAGAAATATCGTTAACTAAACATCACACACATATTGGCAACTACGTGCACTTTCAAACTTTATTATGAACTATGTCTACGTATTTTATTGAATGAAATTGTTGTTGTTATTCTAAAATACAATATAACGCTAAATTAGTGATAAGCCGTCAGATTAATAAATGCCTACGCCCACACAACCCTTTGTAGTCTTAGTCCCAAAAACTGTGTGGCCTGGCACCAACCTTGTTTTCCCGTGGATATCGAAAAAGTCGACTAAAGGATTCCCCAGAGAATGAACAGCAGCTTTCACTCAGCATTATACCGTACTACGATCTTACATTAACTGATGATAGAGACTGCTGTAAGCACTCACTGATAGGTACCGTCCCGGTGATTTCTACTGCCAAGTTGTTATGATTCCAGATCGAAGGGAAATCTTATGTCTCGGAGTGAGTACCGGCGTTCACGCTTTGATGTCTATAGGCTAGTTAATCCCAAAAATCAAGTGGGCCGTGAGTTCGTTCACCTCTCAATCTAATAAAAAAGGAAAATGGATAAACTAAAGAACACTTTACACGATACCTGTCTTGTTTCGAAGGATACTAATATTATTATTCGGATCACTCTTAAAACGTTTCACTTGCTTGTTTTAGCGAAATCTACCGTTTTTACCGAGCCTTTCTGTTTGTCCCGCTCTCGTTTATAGCGTAAACACCAAGTGTGAGGAGGACGGCTGTACCGTAAGTCTCTATACTGCGGCTCAGTAAGATGCCTATTATTATTTTTTCTTTTAGACGCCCCTGTAAATGCGAGAAGGACGCTGATTTCCTGGAACACACGCAAAACGTGTACATTCCCGTTGAAAACGTTTTCTCTATGCTCGATGACAGCGAAGCCTTGAATTTCATTGTTAGAATCGGTAAGTGGTACATCGAAATCTAGTACAAATAGCTGGAAATTTAACAAAAATGTTTCTCATTTAACTGTCGGTATAAGCTTATTATATATATAATAATATATTATAAGCCTATTATATTATAAGCACGAAACTAAAAATTCTTTATTTAAAATGGAATCTAGTTCTTAATTGAAATTTTATAATTGAGAATACAAGAAAAAAATCAGCCTTTTAGGTAAATCAAAACGTACTTCTGTATCGAGTTTTAATTTGAAGTAGATAATAATATGTCCTATTCGTTGCATTATTTGTGAATACAGAAACATTAATGTAGTATTAACGTATGTACTTAATATTTTTTCATGTTTCAACATCTCAAATAGAATTTTTTTTTTATAACGCTAATATGAACGAACACACAAACAAGAAATCAAACAAAAAGAGATCGGTGATTCAGAATAAAAAAAACTTTGAAATCTTTAATGAATTTAATTTATCGCTCTTATACTTTATATACAAAATTATTATTAACTTGCTGTATCCGTCCGATTCTCTGGGTATTTAAAATTAACATTATTATTTCTCACCCCCACAAAGATTCTCATCATTAACGCCCCCGCAACTAGTGTAGGGACTCCAACACTCATATAAATATTAGCCTATCCATTAAGTACATGTATTTTCTACATTGATACCAAGGTTCAAGTCAATCGGATGCACGGCTTAATAGTTATAACGGAACATCCGTAAAAACCACTGTAGATTTATATATTAGTATAGATTATAATAGATTTACTAAACCGGTTAAGTAATAATTAAGTAACGATCACAATTAAAAAAATATATGTGCATGATCTTTGTTTTTTTATTTTTATTTTTTTATTGCTTTGATGTTTTTAATACATCATTTCAATATTATTTTTCAGGTGAAGTAGAAAATTTACCTCTGCTCGATACACCGACAGATAGCGAGAGCCGTATTCTTCTGAACCACGAAGATCATAAATAAATACAGTGAAATTTACACCATCAAATTGTTATTGTCAACAAAACCGTAGATAATTAATAAGTTTTCTTCAATCATTAAACATGACTTTGGGATATCTCTCGTAATAAATTCCACAAAAACCCTGTATAGTAATTGTCATTTTTTTTTCGCTCAGAAGAAATAGACGGTCCAATATAAGTGTGATCACTAAATCTTGTTTCAAAACAGTGACATATTCAATCGTATAGTGTATTGTCTCCTGAAAGAACTTAATACTATTCCATAAACAGAAAAATAAATCTTCGATAAATACATGGGAAAGGATTTTTTCAATATTTCTATATAAGTTGCCTGAATTTTGAGTAAACTTTATATATTGTACATACATTTAACATACTTTTTTACAAGTAGTAGGACCTCTTGTGAGTCCGCGCGGGTAGATACCACCACCCTGCCTATTTCTGCCGAGAAGCAGTAATGTGTTTCCGTTTGAAGGGTGGGGCAGCCGCTGTAACTATATTTGAGACATTAGAACTAATATCTCAAGCTGGATGGCGCATTTAAGTCGTAGATGTCTATGGGCTCCAGTAACCACTTAACACCTGGTGGACTGTGAGCTCGTCCACCCATCTAAGCAATAAAAAAAATATTGTAAAGACGCATGTAACTACCATCATATCTTCTATTATTGTTATAACTTATTCTTGTCTTCAAGCGGATGGCACTCACTCGTTGTCAATGGACCTCGTTAACTACTTAACATCAAATAACAGTTCTTCCGCTCATTTAATATACCAAAAAGGTAAATAAATAATTTAATGTTTTCCTAATTACTAAAGCCTAAGTACAGCAAATTATAAGTTAAGTACGATGTACTATCGAACAAACATGAATACAAGCATCGGTACAACTACAGCCAAAAATCTGGGTCACAGTAAAAACCATATTCTTCCCTCGACCGTGACCTTTCGTTTATAAATATCTTTAATGTACGGGCTCATTCCATAACGAGATTAAAAATAAAAAGAACTCGAACATTGTTATTGTAACCTCGATCCATATGCTTTTATCAAAATCCGACCCTGCAAGACCTCGCCATTAGAACGCTCCCGTAATATTCTAATTAAAATTTCGAAGAAATTCCGCTGTTATAATTAAATAATTAAAAAGCTTTTCACTTAGTTTAATCAAGTACCGTGTTCTTGAAATTAAAACTTAAGAGTGCTACATAGGTACACGAGCTGATGTGCATTTCTCGTGAATGACCAACTACTAAAATCCTTTGAGACTTCATAAATGAAATGTGCAGACGACCCTAATACATGAAACGGAAGTTGCATATCGATTTTAAGGCGACTGTGTGTCCCTTCAAATCGCACATGCGTCATAAATATCCCGAATAGTAGTAATTATTTACACACACAAAACGCCTAAGAATCAGTAAAGAAAACGTTCTTCAATCAAACTTTAACACATACGACTGAACCCCAAACAACTGAACACAAGTAGCAACGACTTACTACCGTAACAAACTTTGTTGATGCGGGTTATATACACCTCCTTTATGTTTGAGACGAACGTACAAGAGTAAACGAACCGAAAAGTTTGCCGTAAAATGAAAATATATCGTTGCAATCGATCGATGCGAGTCATTAAGCTTAAACGAACTGTTCGTGATATCGAGAATCGAGACACGGAAAATATTCCTTTGAAAAGTTGAATCGTTGAGTTAATTTTCAGTCGGTCCGTTTAATGGGCTGCGGAACACAAGTGTGTTTTTAGTTTACGAAATTTTTCGGCATGTGGTTTCCTTTTAGGTTGCAGTTTAAGTCATCGTGGCCTAAAGGATAAGACGTCCGGTGCATTCGTGTTGAGCGATGCACCGGTGTTCGAATCTTAGGCCGGTACCAATTTTTCTAATAAAATACGTACTCAACCAAATGTTCACGATTGACGTCCACGGTGAATGAATAACATCGTGTAATAAAAATCAAACACGCAAAATTATAATTTGCGTAATTACTGGTGGTAGGACCTTTTGTGAGTCCGCGCGGGTAGGTACCACCACCCTGCCTATTTCTGCCGTGAAGCAGCAATGCGTTTCGGTTTGAAGGGTGGGGCAACCATCGTAACTATACTGAGACCTTAGAACTTATATCTCAAGTTGGGTGGCGCATTTACGTTGTAGATGTCTATGGGCTCCAGTAACCACTTAATGCCAGGCGGCTGTGAGCTCCTCCACATATCTAAGCAATAAAAAAAGACATGCATCGGGATCTTCCACGCGATTTAGAGTTGCGCTTTTTTTTTTTTTTTTTAAATAAATTCGTGTACATTCGCAACGTAATGCGAGACATGAATTCCCATTACGGGACAGCGTTTAATTGGCGTATTGTACAAAACGCCCGTTTTGTGTCGCACAGAATAACGTTGTAAATCATGCCGCGAAATTATGAGAGCATGAAATTTATAACGTTGGCGTCCGCTTGCGGATTTCATCACGGCGTAATTTAAACACAATACAAATTTATTTAAATTTTATTGTATTCCTGTATTTATTGCAAAATCGTACAGCTGCTGTTGCAATGTGGCGTTATTAGTTTATACAAATCGGTATTATAAAAACAAGAATTTCTTTTTTTTATATATTTATTTATGCAAACTTACACTTCATGCAAAACTTACATTGGCGGACTTAAGGCCTAAGGCATTCTCTACCATTCAACCAAAGGTAGTGCAGAGTAAATAATGGTAGGAATACATGACTTCATTGCGAAATTTTTTTTTTTTTATTGCTTAGATGGGTTCACGAGCTCACAGCCCACCTGATGTTAAGTGGTTACTGGAGCCCATAGACATCTACGACGTAAATGCGTCACCCACCTTGAGATATAAGTTGTAAGGTCTCAAGTATAGTTACAACGGCTGCCTCACCCTTCAAACCGAAACGCATTACTGCTTCACGGCAGAAATAGGCAGGGCGGTGGTACCTACCCGCGCGGACTCACAAGAGGTCCTACCACCAGTAATTACGCAAATTATAATTTTGCGGGTTTCATTTTTATTACACGATGTTATTCCTTCACCGTGGAAGTCAATCGTAAACATTTGTTGAGTACGTATTTCATTAGAAAAATTGGTACTCGCCTGGGATTCGAAAACCGGTGCATCGCTCAACACGAATGCACCAGACGTCTTATCTCTTAGGCCACGATCACTTCCACGATGACTTCCATAAAAAAATATGAGATAGACCTATTAAACAATACCAAATTTTGACGTTTTCAAAATATACATTTAAGAGTTGGGAGGGTTGATGTTGATATGCGAAGTTCGTCACCTTTGAATGAAGAAACGTGAAATTCAATATTAAAGATTTTCACACTCATGAGCTTAGTAAACTAACATCAAAAATATTACTTAACGTGATTACTGTCTTACACTTTCAGCATAATCTCCACAAACAATCAAAGTAATATTGTCACCCGTAAAAAGCTGAGAGCGGGGATATAATCTGTGGCGGAAATATTAACTGTAGCAAACATTACTTTGTGATATTTATTTTTAACCTATCTTCTTAAATTATATCCGTTTCCTTTATTGACTTTAATAAACGTTGCGTAGGTGTGCACGCGATTTTATGTATTATGAATTGTGAATTTAGGACCAATGATGACCTTTTAATAGCTACAAAATATTATAATGTTTCATTCAAACTAAAGAAAAAAGTATAAAATACAGTCCCTGCAATAAATTAATGTAAATTGTATAAAAAAACAATTATTTGAGTTTGAAATATTCTTGTAAATTTTGTTTTTGTTTACATCGTAATACATATAAGCTATGAGTTTACGAAAATGTTACTTAACATTTCCTCCAGCCAGTCAGAAATAAAGTAATTGAGAATAATAAATAAGGTTTCAAAACTGAACGCGCTTTGCTGTCTATCCGAACTAAAAATTAAAATGACCATTTTTGTCATAGTAATTTTGGTCAAGTCACATAAAATAATTGTATAAATTTTTTTATTGCTATCAACCCTAATATTAATCAGCCGCCACCGCCCTACGAGAAGCTTAGGACCGGACGAGGTAGAAGCAGCTAAAGAGACAGGCCACGGTCAAGTTTCAAGGACACGACCTTCAGTAATGAAGAAAACGACGAAAAAGAAGATTAATCCTTGTTACCTGTTTAAATTTTCAAATTAAGCGGACGACTTGAAATAAGGGAAATAAACGTTGAAAATACCATCACATAAAACTAATGGTAATTTTATAATAACCATGTTAAAAACGATAACCTCATTAGTATGCCTTTGCAAAAACTAATTATTTTCGTGACTTCTTAATTTTCTTGTACACTCCAATCTAAAATTACCCGCAGGTACTTTGCCTAAATCCGGCAAATTGTAATGAAACGCGACATTTTCTTGCTTGTGGCCCACATAAACAAAGATGAGGTCCTATTTAAATTATCTGACACAGGCAGCTGGCATCTTACCTACAGTTTCCCATTCGGCTAGAATTAATTTCGACAGAATTAATTCAGAGTTCCACCTTCGTCACTTTATAGGTAAGTTTGTGCCTAATGCGTCGCCACGGCGGTTACAATATAGCTCTGTGTATCTGACGAAATTAATTTAGACTCTGCTGCAAAATTCGCGCTTTGTCACAAAATTTCTTACACCTTTCGCGTTAATGTTTGTCTTACGCCGCCGGTAGAACAATGCGTGTGTTGTTTATTTTCTCAGAGCTTTCGCATTCGCACACTCGCTATAGAAGAACTTTAATTGGATATTTTCTAGAGAAGCTTCAGAGGAATAAGGTTTTAATGCTTATTTTAAAAATCGCTGTAATCCAGATTTTCGTATGGTTGTATATGATTTAGAGTAATAAGCCCTAAACACGTCATTACGGATCCTCCCGATCCATTAACAGTGCTTTTAGGTACCACAAGCACCGGTCATCGTCCTCAAAAAAAAAATTGGAGAAGGGAAGTAGCCGCCCCAGAAGAAAGAAGAGGAAGAAAGAAGCGAAGAGAGAAGAAGGAGATGAAGAACGAAGAAAGAAGTCGATCCCACCCATTATCATCAAGCCTGCCTGATACTCCATCCAG